TCATGATGCCATTCTTGCGAACAAAATCAGTCAATTTGAATTCTGATTGCAATTACAGGTGGAGTGTTGTGTAGGATTAATTAATGATAGTTGTCACTTACATTAATTAATAGAAGCCAATCCCATTTTGTGAGAACCTATCTCAGGAAATGCAAAATTGTTTGCATAAAAAGTATTTTACAATTTTGTTTGTATTAAATTATAAAATATAAATTTTTTTTAAAATTAATTCTCAAATATTGAGTCATTTTTTATTTACTATTTAATATAATTTAAATTACATATAAACAAACTCTTATTTAAATTATATATTAATTAATTAAAGTATTTATATATTATTATTATTATTGACATTTTAATTGTCAGAAAGAATTGATTTTCCACATTCTCATATTAATTATAACCATTCAATCTTACTGCTAAGTGTGAAGAGCTGAATCGAGTGAAAATAGAGGGTGCGCTGTGGATCCTTCAAAGATGCTGGACTAAAAACAGGGGGAATAAACAAATTGTAGAGTAAACATTGAATGGCACCAACCTCTTTAGTTTTCAACGGTTCGGTGATCTCATCTCTGATCTCTCACGACTTGGATTTATTTGCAAATGGACCAAGACCAAATTCCATAGTTTGAGTGTCAGTTCTGTCCACATGCGCTCTAGAGTAGGGCCAACATGTTCTTGAACTTGTATGGCTGTCTGAAGAGGAACCAATCAAAATCTTTACTACAATATATTGGCTAGCACAATGATTGGTTGATTCAGGCTTGTTAATGTTTGCTTCCTCTATTTTATGATGTATAATTTACATATAAAAATGTCAAACAATTAAATAGATAGACTAATGTTTAAGAAACAAAAATGTTTAATAATTTTAAAAACTGTTTTGTACATAATATAAATTATTAAATGAGAAACAAAATGTTTAATATTGGAGATTATTTTTTTATTGAATAATTTTTATTTTACCGTTTAAATATATATAATCTGCCTTATTGTAAAATAAAAAACTTTTTTATAGTTTATAGAATTTTTCTCTATTGTAACTAGCTTGGACCAGCAACTTGGATCCTTAGGTTTTTCTTGATTAAATAAAAAAAGAACTCACTGCTATTATTTAAGGTTATGCAAAAAGTGTGCATAGCAAATAGCTAACAAAGCAAATTGCAATACGAAAAATGGAAATAAATTTCTGCTTTATTGAACGTCCCCAATACAGAGCACTGAAGACAGGGTAAGTATAGTTAGTAGGAATGCCACTGACAATCTTTCAGGAGCTCCCCATATTGTGG